CTGTCCCTGGGGCAGGGGGCTGGACTCGATGATCTTCCGAGGTCCCTTCCAGCCCTAGTGTTTATGAATCTATAAGAGTCGAAGCCAATTATGAGCTCGAGGACCGAGATGTTTCAGAAAGTCTGGGTGCATGTTGTCATAGCTAGTTTCAGTGCCAGATTTTAAATTGCACAACACAGAGTTGAGTTGTGTTGGTGAAAAGGTTTGTGGAGGGTCTAGGTTCTGAACATTTTGATGGAAATAACACAATTCTCCATGTATTTTTCACTCAAAATCCTTGTTGTTTTGGGGTTCTCATCACTTTCAGAAGGTGGCTGGCAATGGCATTGGCTAACACAGATGGTCAAGTTTGGGTTTCGGGGACATTGAGATGCTCCCAGGTGGCGAATGAGGCCCCAACTCCTCCAACTGGAGTGACACAAATTCAGTCATGAAGTTGAGTCCTCCCAGCAGTTCTGATGAGCAGCATCGAGTGATTCAAGCAGGTGATCTGCAATATCTGGATTGCCATATTTTTCATACTTACCTAATAGAGCAGCACACTCTCCATCTAAGCAAGGAGCTCACAGGGGGTGAAATCCTCTGGTAGCAGAGGATTGTGCTTATAGAGGGGATCAGAGAAATATTTACAAACTTCATCAGCTGGGATGTTTTGCCATAGGATGGTAACAGTGGATCGTTGAAGAGTCTCCACAAATAGGGACCAATTGACTTTCCTGAAGATCTGTCTGGGGTTTTTATCCATTTAATGGACGATGGTGGCTGTGTGGAAGGTCATCAAGAACAATGCAAGATGCTGGTTGTGGGTGGCTGTTGGCTGATGTAACTCAACATATGTCAGGGGAGTGAGTAATCTTGGTCCTATCTTGCTGAGCAGAAGGTGCCCCACTTTAGAGTCATGGATCAGGGCAAGGTCATTGCTGGATGCTCAATTTTGTAACAGGTCACTGTCTTCATTTGAGTGTGAGTAACCTGAGTCTATGTGGTGGCTATTAAAATCACCAACATATATGGGTGTGTGAGGGAGAGATGGAAGAGGGCAGTTCCCCCAGGTTTTGCTTGGTGATTTACTGACATTTGCAATCCTGAAGCTTCCAACTTTTGTGACATCACAAGGATTAGTGGATAAGGTAGGTTGCCTTAGAAAAGTTGGTACAGACATAGGTGGCTCTCCCGTATTTTGCATGAAGGGGGTAGCATATTAAATAAATTTGCAATGTATATAATTAATTTCAGGAATGATGCATGCCCCTGGAGGGTGGGGTGGCACGGCGACCGCCCGCAGGCGGCAGTGCTGGGGGTACAGTGGCAGCGAGCGGGCAGCTCCCGCAGGTGGCCACAGCATTGTTGGCAGCAGGGGGTGGGAGGGTGGCAAGTGCCAATCAGCGGTCGGCAACCACCTGCAGACGCTGTTGACAGCATCGGCAACGGCCAGTCGTGATCGGAGACCACCTGCTGATGCCGCTGGTGGTGTTGGCACTGAGGGAGCGGGGTGGTAACCGACGACCGCCCGCAGATGCCGCTGGCAGCATTGGTGGTGCTTGTCGGGGTGCACTGCCAATTTCAGGGGGTGCACCCCCTATGCATTGCCAATGATTAATTTGCTAGGTTAGAAACTGTGTATATGTATATAATTTGCTATTATAAAGTTTATTTGTTTATGTGTATTTATATATAAAATGTGCTATATTGTAAAGTGTGTGTATATGTATAAATATATACTATATATACAAATTTAATTTACTATGTTGTTAAGTGTATGTGTGTGTATTTTTTTGCTGTTATAAAGTGTGTGTGTGTGTGTGTGTGTGTGTGTGTGTGTGTGTATACACTATACACGCACACACACACGTGTGTATAATCTATATCTATCTATAGATATGAAATTTGCTCACACACAAACTCAGAGTCAGTATCGTGGACTCTGCATGTAAGACCAGTGGCATCTGTCCCTGAGCCAGGCAGTGCAGTTTCTGTGGAGGGAGCAGCTGCCTTACTATTCAAGAGAAACCCATCTGGGATCAAGCACGATTCACCAGTCAATTCTGTAATATATGTAACATGTAGCAGGGGCCTTAGAAGACCTGCGGGACTTGGACGTTTCCATCTCTTTCCTCTCGCATACCCTGAGGCCTGGGGGCTGACTTAGGCAAATGCCAACATGGAGGAGTAGCAGAGCTTTGCCATTGCTGGTGTCACTAGAGCTAACGTGTGTCCTTGCCTGGTGTTATTGATGTGTTGTTAGTATCTCAGGCTGCTGCTGCACGTTTCATATATTATGCAGTTTACTGGTTACTTGCCCAATAAATTTAGACTGGCCACACATGCAAAGTAATTATCACACAATTTATGAGAAGAGGTTGAGGGAACTGGTTTTATTTAGTCTAGAGAAGAAAAGACTGAGAGGGGATTTGATAGCAGCCTTTAACTCTCTGAAGGTTGGTTCCAAAGAGGAGAGAGCGAGACTGTGTTCTCCACGGTGACAGATGACAGAATAAGGAGCAATGGTCTTAAGTTGCAGCAAGAGAGGCTTAAGTTAAATTTTAGGAAAAACTTTCTCACTAGGAGGGTGTTGTAGCACAAGCGACCGAGAGAAGTGCGGGTATCTCCATCCTTGGAGGTTTATAAGACCCGGCTAGACAAAACCCTGGCTGGGATGACCTAGTTGGGGATGGTCCTGCTTTGGAGGAGGACTAGATGTGACCTCCTGAGGTCCCTTTCAACCCTAATTTTCTATGATTCTAATTCACTGGTTAGTAGTGCAATAAATTTAGACCAGCCATACATGCAAAGTAATCATCATGTCATAAAAATAGCCATTCAACTTCAAAAAGAGCCAACCAGCTACATCATTAGTCTTTGAAGATCTGGAACAACTTTATAACTGGTTTCTATCAAGCTTGAATTGGAGTGTGTGGCAGGGCCCAAAGTCTCAGGGACTGTGGTGCCAGCAAAAAGTCACGGCTGAGACCCAACACCAGTCTTGTCTTAAAGAATGAACACAGGCATGGTTTGATGGCAAAGGTTTGACCAGGTTTGGCCTTAACACACTCCTGTTCTGACAAATAAGGTGGTAACACACATATGCCCATGACAAGACATTGGCACAGTACCACACAAGTTCCCCTAAGCCAATACAAAGTTTTCTTCATTTCTAATTCTCCTTTTATACTGTAGTCAAAACACCTTATGTGTTACCAATATCTTGACTATCTTGAACCATGGGCTTGCTCCACATCCTGATCTGGGGGTTTCCATTCCAGCCTTATCATCCTGGTACTGGACCACCTTGTACTACTCTACCTTGTACAGCCATCACCCCCTCCCATCCTCTGGCCCACATGTCAAGAGTTGCTTATATGAGTTCAGGCATCAGCCAGGTTTGCTGAACAGACCTACTTTGGTCAATGCTTTAGCAAAAAATAGCCTTTATGGGAGCAGTATGTATGTATTGATGGATGTTCCAGCAAGGCCTATGACCTGTGGATGCTCTTCCCTTCCCAGCAGGTGCAGGGAGCCTGAGCACAGCTGAGGAGCAGCCTCTTGAGGAAGGACCTGTAAACCTGTTGATGCTGAGGTCGTCCCCAGGGAGATCTGGGGAGAGGGGACTCCTGACACCTGAGCCAGGCTAAGTGCATGAGAAGCAGGGCAGGTGCCCACAGGAGGGAGAGAACATGGCTGTGAGCAAGGTACAGGCTGCAGTGGTGTATGAGTGTGGAGCCAGTGCAAAGCCTGGCAAGAGTTGGGGGAGTGGGGAAGAGCCAGAGGAGCAGAGAGACCTGAAGAGCCACAAAAAGAAGCTTCACGAGAAAGAAAGGGTGCATCCAAATGGAGCCAGCAGGGAGGGCTTCAGGGGAAGCAGGAGCTCACTGCCAAGTACAGATAGACTGGGACTAGAAGTGCTGCCTTCAGCACTGGTGGGTCCAGCACTCCCTGCCTCTGGAAGCACTGCCTCAGTTTCCCCTAAGAGAGCATTTTAAGACTGGGGGTCCAGGAGAGAGTCCCTCTGGGCACTTTGTGACACCCTGCCAGTACCAGGGAGCATGGGATGAGGGTCTCCTCAGCTGAGCCCACCAGGTTCCCCCTGAGAAGCATGGAGGGGCTCTACACCTAAGTCCAGCAGGGTCCCTCTAGCCCAGCTAGTGCCAGGGCAGGATGATGAGCTGGCAGTTTGCTAGGAGTAAGCAGTGTTCCTTAGTCCTGGAGGGAAATCCAGGTTCAATCTATGAGAACAGGAAATGTACCCCAATCTCCTTGCACCAGTGTCTGACTGGGATCAAAGAAAAATTCCTAGAGTTGCTCATATCTGGAGGACCCCACTCCAACCCCACAGGTGTGACTTGTGCCCAAGGACAATCGGCACTTTTATGTTCTTCGTCTCTGCATGGAGTTGGAAAGCCACAGCCCCTCACTCTCCTGCTTCAAGGCTGAGTTTGCACTGAGTCCCGTCTGCTCCAGCCCAGCACACTAGGAATCCTCATTCCCCCTTCCTGGCTGTTGTTTCCTCTGCCCTCCATTTCCACTCCATGGCCAGACACACCAGGGATGGATGTAGCAGCCCCAGATCACGTAGGACAGTGACAGGGAGGTTCCCTGAGTTTTTTATGGGGCAGTAAATCTGGGATTTGAGACCTGCAGAACTCCCCACCCTAGAGCCTTGCGGGGAAAAGAGAAGACTCCTGACAGGCAGGGCATTCTCTGTGAGACACTGCCATGAAAACAGATTCCCCAGAGGAGACTCGGGGCCCGTGGACCACAGTGTCCACTGGCATTGTTTCAAGGGCAGTACCTACCTTATTGGCACAGCATATACTGGTAGAGGTAATAGCTGTGTTGACTCCTTGGAGGACTTGAGCTAAAGCAGACAAATGCACAGCTCTGTTCTTGGAGATGTGTCCAAGCCGACCCTTAGCTGGAGCAGCTGTCGGCTGAAGAGTAAGACTCAGGTTTATGAAGACTGAAGCAGGAGATGCTGATGGTGTAATGCTTGTGACTTGCAGCTCGCCGATGTCTTTGAGGATGTGGCTGTGTACTTCACACAGGAGGAGTGGGAGCTGCTGGAAGCTGGAGACAAGGTGCTTTACCAGGACCAGATGCTGAGGAATTACCAAGCCCTTGTTTCCTTGGGTAATGTTTTGGGTTTTATTTCCCCACCCAGAGCTGTGAGATCAGAAATGTCGTATCCTCATGCATTTTGGCTGGTGGTCTGAATGTAGTTTTGCCCCACTGCTCTGTTGTCATTCAAGCCTCTTGCCCTCTTCGCATTCTCATATCCTCCACTGTTGGTTTCAGATACCTTTGCAGGGGTCTTCTCCTCGGTGTAACCCCTGCTGTTTCCATATCCAGCAATTTCTTTGCAAGATGATCTGCCTTTGCCATCCCATCATATTTGTATCATCTTCAATTCATTCACCAACAAGCTTCCCCTTGGGGAATTGGTCCATCCTTCTCATTCTTTTTTTGTCCAAAAGCTTAACAATCCCAGCATGCAGTGCACATTTCAGGTGGAAACAAATGTCACCTGTCCTGACCCTTGTGCCTCCAAAAAAAATGTTTATGGAAGCACAAAGACAAAGCAAAATGACCTCCATACCCTTTGTTGTGCTGCAAATACCTAAAATTGTTAGCCACAACAATGCTGGTAATATATTGTGCTGCTCAACTGTGTTGGACATCTGTTTGCTTGGTGGTGGGAGAGCTCCTTGCACCCTTCAGCTGCCTTGGCCTGCTACTCTGGAGGCTTGAGGGGCCCGATCCTGAAAATCCCATGAATTTCTAGGCAGGATTAGGCCCCTGGAGCCTCTGCTCAGCTTTCCCCTCTTTAAAAGACATGTCCTAGGGAATCTTGGGGTGCATTTCAGTAAATGAAGAAAGCCAGGATTTGTCCATGTGCGGGCCGGGGAGCGGTCAGAGGCTCT